CCCGCGCGCGCCGGGACGAGCGCGGTTACTCACACGTCACCTCGTCTTCCACCAGCTTGTTACAGTCTGACCCAGTTCTGCCCCATTAAGCCCTCGGCGTCGGCCCATCTGCTCACGCATTTCATACTGGGCGTCTGGAACCGCCAGCAGCGGGGAACTGGGCACTCCTGCTCCTCGGAACACCCTGGCTCAATGCCTGAAATGCCCCGAAACCAGCACCTGACCGTGGGGAAGGACTGGCACAGAGCAAACCCCGTCTCACTCGGGTGGTTCCTCCTCTGGGATGTGACACTTACCTGTAGAAAGCACAAAAGTCACCCCAAATCCCCCAAATCCCCCAGTGCTCACACCCCGGGTGTATTTTCAGGCCTCCTGCTCCTCCCGCTGCCACCAGCGAGTCATAATTTCTCCATCAGGGCAACGAGCAAAAAGACTCGACTCTGCTTTTCCTTGGGGGCAGGATGAAGGTTGGAGGGAAAGGACAGGAGGAGTCGGGAACTTACAGCCACTGGAACAGAGACTGTAACTTCTCCCCCTGTATCAAGAGTTATACTCTTGTCACTGGGATAAAACCCGAAATGCAGAACAAATCCAGACGCCCCATCGCTGACAAAACGAGGCCGAGCAGCCTACAAGAGCCCAGTCTGCAGCGCAGCTCGTTAACCATTTAGGAATCTTCCCAACGGGTCATCTCAGGCTTCCAATGGTAAAAAGTATTTTTTTAAATTTAAAGTATCGATTCGTAACTTTTGTTTGGTAAATCTCAAAAAAATTACTGAATTAGAACTCTGTAAAAAAACAAAAACAAAAACAAAAAAAAACAGGATGTAGGGAGGGTAAAAAACCCAAGCCTGATGTTGCAGATGTGGAGCTCTATCACGAGAATGCAGGAAGCCTCTGAGCTGGGCGCTACGGAACGCAGAAGAACGGATGAACCCTCGAGGTGAGCATGCTCAGGGCCAGAGGGAAGGGCAAGCAGAGAAGCACACGCACGTCATGTCGCACAACAGCTGCTGTTTCAGTCCCTCACTGAAAAATGGACACAAAACTGGTTGGGATTTTGAGGTTTGGGTTATTTTTTTTTTTTTTTTTCTCTTCTGGACAACGGATGCAGGGTTAAAGCATGTTCCTTTCCTCTCTCCCCCTTCTCCCCATTTCAAAGGGTTTCAGTTGCTGTTCCAACCTCAGCAGCAGCCAACAGTCACTCTGGGTTCGCCAAGACCTCCCCTCCTCACCGCAACGCTTTCATCTGAGCATGCCCAGTAGGAATGGTTCAGAATTATACCAATCCACCTACAGAAAAAGCCAACGCAGCTCCAGCTCCCGCGCTGCTGGGAGTTCATGGGTTTGCTGGAGCAGGTGGGGTGTGTGTATGGATGTGTATGGATGGCTACAGGGGCCCGGCACCGCGGCTCGGCTCGCTGCCCCTCGCAAATGACACTGGTATCGCTTTCCTTGAAGATACTGGTGTCCACCGTAATCCTTCAAGTGTAATTAAATACTCAGTTTGCACGGACGGCCACTTCCAGTGTCATAGGATGATGCAGCATCTGCAGAAGCGCTGTCTGCTGCCTCCGACCGACGGCGGTGGAGTCACCGGCGCGAAGTAGGCATGGACTTTGATATTGGGTAGGTGGGTCTGAAAAGACAAAGACAGGGTGTAAAGTGAGGAGGGCAGTGGTGGC